GTTCAAAACTTTGAAAAAGGATAATAAAATTACAACAACGTAGCACGCGAACAAAACGAGCATTAAACCTGCAAGGATTTCCATGTAAACCTATTTAAACAGAGCTGACTTCGCCCGACTGTGTGGAGAGACTAACGATCACGTTTCAACTTTCCTCACCCTAAAAATTTCGCGTATTACCCCCTATTCGAATAGAATCTTCCTTGACCAAAAAATTCTCGCACGTTATAAAGCGAAATGGGGCAGAAACCTACTTCCTCTTCACTCGAGTAGCGTAATTACCGGCCAGAAAGTTTCCAACTCTTTCTATTCTTATCTCGTAATAATCTCACCACTTTCACACACATACATTCCGGGATAAATTTTCAAATTTAGAAATAAACATAGAAATTTTGGATTATAAATCAATGAATGATTAAGTAAAATTTTAATAGCATAAGGTATCAATAATTTTTAATACTTTCTTTTTAATTAATTAATCAATCAAATTTTCACTTCACCGAAATAATAGATTTGAGAACGAATAAAATTTTTTATATCTCAAATTTTAAATTTTCCAAATAATTAAATCCAATTTTCTTAAAAATCTCCTCGATCTTTCTATATCACGCAATCACCCTTTATTCCCTCGATAAAATTCTCGCTCCCACAATACGAACGAAAATAAATGCAACCTTGCTAACGATTCCTTTCTCCTTCCTTTTTCGTCCTCATTCCCATCCAAAAAAAAAAAAAAAAAGGAAAGAAACGTTCTCTTTCATTTCTCATCCGTGACGCGATTCACCCCTATACCGAGGTCGAAATCGCAGTATTTTTTCGAGGGGGGAGGAAAAAGCGACGACATTCCAAAAGGGCGCATTTTCGCGAGAAGAGAGCTGCTATCCACGCGTTATTACGCCTCTAGGAGGTACAACCCGCTCGAGGCATATGCGGGCCAAGCTTGTCCCCGTCCCTCTTTCGCTCGTAGTTTCACCGTGGTTCATGTATTTATGCATTTCCACCCAACCACTGCTTCTTGACTAGATTCCACGCACGCACACACACACACATGATCGTGCACCAAACGCCATTGTGAAGCAGACGATTTACATGTATTGCTCCTCGATGATGCATCGTGAAAGATGGCCGAGCGAGGGACGGAAGCGGACCCAGCCATACAAGAATTGCTTTTAAATTAACGATATTACCGATGTGCCAATATTTTTCTTTTCTTTTCTTTTTTTAGATCGAGGGAAAAATTTATTTTATATATTTCGTATCAAATGATAGTTTTATGGAGTGTACTGATTTATCTATATATATATATTTTTTATTTAAAATTAATGGTATTATATTTTTTATTTAAAATTATTGGTTTGGAAAGATTTTTGTTATTTCGTTTCGTATGAAATGATAATTGAAATGATAATTTATCTAATCCGTGATATTTCATTAAAGTTTCATTATTAAAATTAATTTTAAGAATACATAATTTTGTATTTTGTATTTTGATAAAAAAATTAATAATGTAATGGAAAAGATTATCTAATATTTAGTGTATATACTGCAAATGAAGATAATCAAATGTAATTTTCAATTTTTTAAAACTATGCAAAAAATTAATTACAAATTTACAATTATAAATTTACACAATTAATCGTGATGTTGAACATGCCACGAACAATTACGATGATTAATTTAATTAAACTTTGGCGCAAAACATCACGTTACATGTCATCAGAATTTTCAAAGTAATTTTACATACGATAAAATTTCTCTTCTGCCTGATAATACACCGGACCTGTACGCTGCTTTTCATTATTCAACCACCATATTTACTCATTGAATTCAATTCGGATTCACTTATGGTATGATTTATTCTGCGAAGGCGTACCTGAGGATGGTGATGGGAATTTATTGGAGACGAAGGTCGTCCTGAATACAGGGTAAGGAAAACGTAGACAGAGATAGAGAGACAGACAGAGAGAGAGAGAGAGAGAAAGAGAGAAAGAGAGAGAGAGAGGAGGAGGCGAAAGGAACAACGGGCAATGAAGGAAGAGAAGAATAAAGGGCGAGTCCTTTTCTCATATTCCGTATTCCATATGGAAAATCGTGAAAGTTGTAAGAGCATCTTTTCGAAATTCAGATTTACAGCGCTGTCTCCTGTTTGTTTCTTTCTTTCTATAGTCATTATTTTTGGCGTTAAAAAAATTAATATTATATTTCATAATTTTTGAAAATTTCTTCTCAAGTTTGTGCAATGATTTATTATAATTTTTTCAAATTATTTTCCCAATATAATATTGCTCGGATCGAATTTTCTACGAAATCAGCCAACGAATAAGAACGTACACGATAAAAAATAAATTTTATTGATTAAGAAACAACAGTGAAATGATATTTCTAATCCATTTTCATTTGTAAAAGTTTCACACTGTAGAATATATTATGAAATGTCTTGTGAGGTATATTTTTAACGATTAGATTCAATAGAGGATGATGATCCATTTGCTCGAATCTGCGAATAAAAAAAAAGATTCGATCGTTTCGAGGGGTGTTTATACGAGAGTATACGTGTACATGTAGCAGCGTATTGGTGGTTTGAATGTATCGTACGCTATTTTATCGGAGGATGCTGAATTTTTATCCATCCCCTGTGCAAATAGAGGCCATGTAGAGCCATCCGGTATGGCCGTTCTTTAAAATGCATGCCGCCCTTAAATCAGGACAACAATAATTGTGTCCACTGTGTGCGGACGTGCCTGATCGGATTTGGAATATTTGTCGTTTCCTTACTTACCCTCTGCTTTCGATCCCACATTTGTCAAATGTGCTGACCATTGGATTTTCCAATGGACGAAAGACGCTTTAACGACTTTAACAGTAAGTATTTTGAAACGATACTTACAAAAGTAACAAGCAAATCTAAATCTCGAAACAGTATAATGAATAGATATTAACTTTATTTTGATACATAAAATTATATATTTATTATTGTATCATTGAATAAATTTCGATTATAGATAAAATGAGTAAAGAAAATATCTCTCAAAAATACTCGATGATAAATAATATAAAAATATCAAAATGAACAATTCATGTAACAAAATTCTCTGCGTCAATTTACACGTGGAGTGAATTTCGGTCGATCATCAGAAGGGGGGAGGACTCGGAACGCCACAGACTGAAGTGGCGGGGGAGGGTGAGTAGCGAGGATACACCCCCCGCGAACTCGAACATGAATTAAAGTTTTAATTTCTCTAAATCACTGTTCGCCCTCGAGCGCTTTCCACCAGACGGTCCGTTACTTATGGCCTTTGCCCTTTTTACCGCCTTCTTTTTTTCCCCGTTCGCCTCGATCTTACCACCGTCCAACCCTCGCCAATCGGCAGAAATCGATATGCACTTATCCGATGACTCTTAAGACCCGAGGCCTCTTTCGTTTCTTTTTTCTTTTTTCTTTTCTTTTCTTTTCTTTTTTTTTTTTTCTTTTTTTCTTCCTTTCCCCTCAACAATCATAACACAGCCAGAAATCGTGGAGATTTAAATTTCGATGGAACAACGATGTCTTTAACATCCCTCCCTTGGAAACCACTTCTGAATCTAATCCAATATTACAGCTTCGAACTGAATCGAAAAATTTCGAATTTAAAAGTCGATATAGGAATTTAATTAATTGTCCGTTTCTCGTAGAAAATCAATTTTCGATTATACAAATTTTAAAATACGAATTCTTTATACCAATTCTTAAAATCTACGGTCAAACTCGTTAAAAATACTTTCCCAATAAACGAAAACAAAAATAAAATTCCTACTATAATCTTTATCTTAAATTATCATGTATAACAAACTTCGATTCAACGAATCGAAAGATAACAACAACAATATAACATATTCAATAATCCCGAAATCGCAAACATAAACAGCTATCATAATACAAAACGTGTGAAAAATGTATCGAAATCGATTTAAAAGCGGTTTTCTCTCGCGCGGCACGCTTCGATTCGCCATGCCTTACCCCAGGCGGTGGCGCGCGACAGGGTGAAACGGGGGTTGTTCATTTAAAATCATGACATCGAGCGTGGAGGAGGAAGAAGGGAGGGGGGGTGCGTAGTGACGGCGGAGGCGTTAGTATTAACGTTAGGTGGCGGGCGGATCGGGGGCCACCTACAAGAACTTCGTACAACCGGTTTCCAACCCCCTTATACCACCGGTGACATATTGTTTCCATTCTGGTCTCGGGCTAGAGCGCAATAAAAAACTGGCATAAATATCGCCGCCCTCGGCGTGCCGCGACACCGATACCGCCAAGCCAAGCGGGCTTGTGGCCCGCGTAAGAACGAGCAGGCCCCGAATAACCGGCGGTCCACAATTACGTGGAAACGTTCTTTCACACGAGAGAGAAACGGCCGGGGACTAATTTGTCTGAGTGGCTTTTTCGACGGTTAAAGGGCGCCGCGGATTTCAAGCGACCGTCTTTCAACCTCTTGTGAATTTGTAATGCTGCTACAATATTGTACGGTATTGTCGTTTTCGAATAATTTCGCGAGGAGAAACGAGGAGAAACAAGTTTCGACTTGAACGTTGGTTTAATTGGATCGTGCAATATTTTTTATTGTACCTATGAAAGAATGTTTACTACATTTTTCTGAGTGAGTTATAGATTTCGTTGATTTATTAAATTTTGGTTTTTTGTTCTTTTTTTTTCTTGTATTTTTAGCATGTTTTTTATTTCATTATTTCTTTAAGTTTGAAATTTATATATTCAATATTGATTGATCATTCTTTATGAATTTTTGAACGTTTTTTTTGGGTGGGGATAGAATTAGAGTAGATAAGTTGCAAGATATTTTTGCTAATTTATGATAATAAATGTTGGAATTTCTAGAAAATGAATTTAAGCTTTAAATTCTCTTAAATCACGAATAAATTCTCGGTATGAATTATAATATCCTCTGGGGATATAAAGTTGCGTACTCCTTATCAATACTCAAACAAGTTTGAAATAAAATTCTACTTACAGCGTGACAGGTTCCTCAGGGCTCGAGGGTGAAATTGAGAGCGACATGGTGGTAGTTAAACATCGTGACGTACCTGGCGACCTGACTCGATCATCCACCTGAAATCAAAATATGAATAATCAGATCAAAAAAATTCTCTTTTTCATTTTTTAAATTTCACTAATTTTAATTATGCAAAACCAAAACATATCAAAAATATAATAGCTGGACTATAAAATTTTTCATAAAATTAAATTTGATATTTTTACAAAATTAAAATTCTTTATTTTTTACAAGAATATTTAACATTTAATATTTTATTAATGACAAATATGATACACAATATCATCCGATCGATATGATTATTGACTTTGATCCCATTCCAAGGGATTATGGACACGATGAAATTCAAGAATACAGAAGAAATACTGCTCTGTTCACCTTTCGAATTCTTTGCACGATCCTTGTTGTCATCGATGGGGAACCGAGCAACAGGTAGACCAGATATGTCCTCGAGGCATCATGCTCGACAGAGCATACGCGTGATTTACTGTATAAGTGACTCATCGAACACGCACCCTTTTTTCTCTCTCTCTCTTTCTCTCTCTTATCCTTCGCTACTCGAAACGAAACGCGAAGGATATAATTCTTTTACTTAGACCCTGTCTTGGGGTACGGAAACCCGAAAATTTATACTCGAGGGTAAAGCTCATATTTCCTGATAAATTATCAATTTCGATGCTGTAGAAACTTTATTATATCATTACTTACAGAACGTATATTATAATTACATAATTGTGCATAAATTATGTGCACTGAATTTACTATTTACCATATCTTTTGTTATTGTTAACAAATATGCATTCGGTGAAACATTTTCATTCTTCGATCATACATTTTCTATTATAATCAAATAATATCGAAAGGTATTAATAATCGTCACACATGACAATCACATCTTAAATAAAAAAATTTAAATCTGCATACATATCACGTATCCTTATCGACTCACTAAACAAATTGATAAATCCAAGTCTATCCTCCAGAGACAGGAAATACGATTTTTCATCCTCCCTATGAATTCGAAACGATCCTTTTAATCGAGAGGCCAGACACGGTGGTATAATCGCGATTGGCGCGAGCTGACAAATTCAGTCGAAATTGAGCAACTTCCGTCCCCACACCCCCACGCTTCTCAAAGAAATATTACGGCCATATTTTTCTCCGGTGAACGATGACTGAAGCTCTCCCGCGATTTCCAAGGGATTAATAATGGGAGCAGACCGTTCTACGACAATCGTAGAGAGAAACAAACGAAGCCCCGGGCAAGTGGACCAGTCGGCTCGCGCCGACATCAATCTGAACGAGCGAGCCTCGCCCCCTAACGAGCAACCGAGTCATATAAATTTTATTGCCATTTCATAAATCTCGGCAACAAACGCGAGTAAACCGTTTCCAAGCGCCGATCTACGAGATTATCAGGAGCGTATAAAGTTGAGGATAAGTCGCGGTTACTGTCCTTCGCGGCGTTGTGAAAATTGTCACGAAAATGTTCGGATAACACGTGCCACGTTTGATGGTGACGGAAGATTATCAAAGAGGGATTTAATAATCGTCCAATTTTTGTTTAATTATTATAATAGATTTTAGATTTTTCACGTTTCTTAACTTAACTCGCAGTTTCATCGTTGTGTTGGGGATAAATAATTGAGTTGGAATAATAGAACGAGTAAGAAATATGAAAGAGAATATGAGGAGAAAAAGAGATGGCACGAAAATCTTTCAAGATGTTGAATAATTTATTTATATTCGTTGAAATTGAACGAATCCTATTTCATTGAATTAAGTACAATGTGAAAGAAAACGTGAAAGTGAAAGAAATTGAAGACACGTTGATAAGAATTGTATATGAAATCTTAAATATTTATGTCATCGAAATAAAAACTTCACGTTTTACATTTTCAAAGAACTATATCTTGCTACTTAGCTACAATACCACAAATTACTTCGACTTTCAAGGATGTGTCTGAACCATACGAAGCGCGTATTTCAATTTTAAATAACGTAAATATAAATATAAAGCACCGCTCAGCCAGGAACCGGGAGAATGGAAACGACAGGATTATATTTATAATAAATAAGACAAGAGAGTATACATACACGCGAAAAGAAGAAGCGGGAGCACAGTTAATTCAGTTTTATACGACAACACTTCCGATCCATGGTAAGCCGGCGACGGTCTCGACGAGTCCCTCCCTTACCGGTTCTCTTCATCTTAAGACGAACCAAAACCTGATTTACATTTCTTTCTCTCCTCGCTATAAAAATTCCGCGACGATAACTTCCTTTGTTCCACCCTCTATGGTCGCCGGGAGGAGCGACCCCTGCGGCTTGGAAAGCCACGGGGAGTCCCCGTAACATCGACTAGTTTTCGGTTTACATTACATTCTTTCCCCTCCCCTTAATTAAAGACGAGTCGAGCTTCCGCTCGAAATTTTTCCTATTAAAATATATTTCATCGCTACACTTTTTTTTTTTTAATTATACTTAGAACAATCGCAAAAGATATTTCAATTTTTATATTCAATTGGCAAATAGATAAATCATCCCATTTCCATAATATAAAATTTAATATTCACATTTTGAATCAATCAATCAAATATAATAAAGAAATTTTTATTTTCTTCGTTCCAATTATATTCGATCACGTGAAGAATAATTCTAAGAATATATATTCCTTCCGCATTATTTTTCCACGCTCGATTACTTCCCTCCTCAAAAAAATATCCTGCACGAACACCCTAAAAACTTCATTTAAAATATCTCTCTCATCGCAAATCTCTCGAATTCGCGTTAACACTCGCTCGAAACTGTCGATCACCCATTCGTTCCATGAAATTTCCCACCGAACGAGGAGGAGGAAGAGGAGTAGGAGTCAAAGATAGAAATAGAGAGAAAGAGAGAGAGAGAGGAAGGGAAGGAGGGAGGGAGTGAGCGAAAGGCAGATAGGATCGAAATGTAATTAAGAGAGCAAATAATCCGAGCCGAACAAACTCCATGAAATGGATCAAAGAACTCGAAGGCAGGGAGGTTAGGGAGGGGGTATAGGAAGCGGGAGGGAGGAAGGACATGTACCTATGGAGGCGCTGAAAGGTAGCAGGACGACGAGGTACGAGGCAGGAGGCTTCTCCCTGTCGTCGTGCTGTCTAGCCCGAAGGAGTAGGGCAACGAGGGGCCTCGGCAAAGACCCTCGATAAATATTTCCGTCAAGTGACCGGGGTTGGAATTCAAAGAGAGCCGAAAGGTGGAATCGAGAGCGAAACGAGTCCATCCTCTCTTCAACAACCGGTTCAAGGGACGGTCTACGGAGGAGGGGGAGGAAAAAGAGGAGGAGGAGGAGGAGGAAGAGGAACGATGGAAGGACGGGGGTGTGGGTTGGCGAGCCGGTATATTTGCGTTGCGTTACGTAGTTGCGCGTTTAATCAGCCGTATACCCGGAAAGGGCGCGTGTGACAGAGGGAAGAAGGAGAAGAGGATACGCCTCGACTTCCGGATACCAAAGAAGGACAGGGGGTTTTGAACAGGGCTTTTTGTGCGGCTGAAGAGACTGGATTTTGTTTACTACTGAATTTCGTCGTCGTCGTAGAACCATTCCAACGGCTCATTGTGCTCTTCCGTTTTTGCACAAAATTTGAAAGTTCTTGGACTGGTATTTTTGTCTTCTTTCCTCTCTCCCTTGTTTTTTTGGAAGTTTTAGGGTTAATGATGTTGGAAATTTTGATTTTTTTTTCCGTTGCGTTGCGATGGGAGGAAGGAGAAAATATATATATATATATAGAGAGAGAGAGAGAGAGGAAAGAAAGTGAAGAGATGGCGCCTACGAGACGTCGATGGCGTGACAGATTGCCTCCAGTATTTTCCACCACATACATCATCGGCATCCGCCAACCCTTAGTTCTAGTTCAATGCTCACCGCCGCCGTCTCCCTTAATTGGCATCACCTACACCAATCTACCTGTGCCGTCGTTCAGAAAATTCCCCAGCACGGTTAGTTACGATAGATTATATTTGGAGCAATGTTCGTGGCAAATGATCGACGAAAAACCTAATATCTTCGATAATTCTTCGATATACTTCCACTTCTTATAGTTTCTAGGATTATAATATTGCATACATTGATAATCTCTTATTTTATCAGAGAGAAAAATTTTCAATTTCGAATAAAATTAACGTCATCTTACAAATATCATCATGATACGGATAATTCTTTTATTTATTGGATCATTCATCGAGACGAAATTTTTATATTTGCGCAACAACTTCAACGCGATTTCAACATCGACTTTCATCGTTTTCACATTATGAATGAAACAAAGCATCGTTGATTATCCGATTTTTGCATCAAACTATAATATATCGATAACGAAGCCAAGGGTCAGTGACAAACTGCAAACCGCACTTTCATCGTCAGGGATACGATTAGGGAAAAATTCGTTCTGTTTTAATGGGGGAGTGAAAATTAAATACCGCGGTGTCCACCCCTTAAGTCCGGCCACCTAATAATTCATACGAGGAATGTAAAAAGGGCGAGCCCTTCTCGACCTCGTACCACCGAATAAGAGCGAGAACGAGGAAAGCTCGTAGGGAAAAAGGGGGTAGAAAAATACGAGGCCGTGTTTATCTTGAGATTTGTAGCCGCCCTGTTCTCGATATTTATTAGCCTTTACGGGGGCGGGAGATGCCACGGCCTGACGGACCGTTAAATTTTATTATGTTTTTTTCACCGATCCCGAAATAACGCGCCACTGAATATGGCTGGCAACGTCGTCGTAAAGATAAATCCTGATCGTCCGTGGATCGTCGTCTCCGCCGTGGAAAACGCGCCCTGTAACGTCGCTGTTTACTACGACATCCTTCCACTTGTATCTTCCACCAGTAGGACGGTTAACTACGTTTTAACTGAATCGAAAAAGAATTTGCACGCATGTTCCAGGTTTATGATATTGTTTTATCAAATCTCGTGATTATGCTACGTACGAATTACTATAAAATATGCGATCCTTTAAATAACTTTTAAAATATATAATTTTCATGTACTAATGTGTAAGTACTGTGCATT